GATAGCCACAAACAGCATAAAATATCTTGGAGTAACTCTAACCAAGGAAGTGAAAGATCTATTTGACAAGAACTTTAAGGCATTGAAGAAAGAAATTGAAGAGGATACCAGAAAATGGAAGGATCTTCCTTGCTCTTCGATTGGGAGGATCAACATAGTAAAAATGGCAATTCTACCAAAGGCAATTTATAGATTCAATGCAATCCCCATCAAGGTCCCATCAAAATTCTTCACAGATCTTGAGAGGACAATAAGCAACTTTATATGGAAAAACAAAAACCCAGGATAGCCAAAACAATCTTATACAATAAAGGAACTTCTGGAGGCATTACAATCCCTGACTTCAAACTCTATTACAGAGCTACAGTTATGAAAACAGCGTGGTACTGGCATAAAAACAGAGAAATCGACCAATGGAATCATATAGAAGACCCTGTTTTTTAGCCCACAAACCTATGAACACCTCATTTTTGATAAAGGAGCTAAAAGTATACAATGGAAGAAAGAAAGCATCTTCAACAAATGGTGCTGGCACAACTGGATGTCAACCTGTAGAAGAATGAAAATAGACCCATATCTATCACCATGCAAATAGAAATAGAAAATAGACCCATATCTATCACCATGCAAATAGAAATAGAAATGAAAATAGACCCATATCTATCACTCAAGTCCAAATGGATCAAAGACCTCAATATCAGTGTGAACACACTGAACCTGATAGAAGAGAAAGTGGGAAGTACTCTACAACACATGGGCACAGAAGATTGCTTCCTATGTATAACCCCAGCAGCAATGAGGCGGACAATGAGGGCTGCTGAGAAGCCAAGGACAATGGCACGGGGTTTTGATCCTACTTCATGTTCTGGCTTTGTGGAAGCCTAGCCAGTTTGGATGTTCACCTTCCTAGACCAGGATGGAGGGGGAGGACTTTGGACTTTCCACAGGCCAGGGAACCCTGACTGCTCTTTGGACTGGAGAGGGAGGGGGAGAGGAGTGGGGGGAGGGGGAGAGGGGCGGGAGGATGGGAAGGGAAATGGGAGGCTGGGAGGAGGCATGGTAGATCTTATTTTCAGAAGTGACAAGGTTCTGGGTCAGTACCTGCTGACATATTTCCCTTCTTTATTTATGTATGTTTTTTATTAATTTATTTATTTATTAAAGATTTCTGTCTCTTCCCTGCCACCTCCTCCCATTTCCCTTCCCCTCCCCCAGTGAAGTCCCCCTCCCTCATCAGCCCAAAGAGCAATCAGGGTTCCCTGCCCTGTGGGAAGTCCTAGGACCACCCACCTCCATCCAGGTCTAGTAAGATTTCCCTTCTAAAAACTGAATAACAACAGTAAAGCTTGAGGAGATGGACATACAACTTAATTATTTGATAAGTAATATTTTATTAATTTACTAGAATAAGTTTCTAAAAGTGTATTTTAAAAGTACTCCACACCAAAAATACTGATGAAAATAAAAATTAAAACAGATGTTTTAATATGATTCCATCTCCTAGTACTCTCTATCTCTCCTTCATAGAGAAGTGGAAGAAAATCAGACAATGGTCACAGAGTTCATCCTGTTGGGATTCTGTCTTGGTACGAGGATTCACCTAGTACTTTTTGGATTGTTCTCACTCTGCTAAACCTTTACACTGTTGGGGAATGGAGTTATCCTTGGATTAATTTACCTAGAATTCAGACTGCACACTCCTATGTACTTCTTCCTTGCTAATCTGGCCTTGGTTGACATTGCTTATTCCTGTAACACAGTGCCACAGACACTAGTCAACCTACTGGATCCAGACAAGCCAATCTCCTTCGCTGGATGCATTATACAGACATATCTCTTCATGGCATTTGCTGTCACAGAATGTCTTCTCTTTGTGGTGATGTCCCATGACTGGTACGTGGTCATCTGTTACCCCCTACACTATACTGTTATCATGAACTGGAGAGTGTGTGCTATCCTGGTTGTTGTCTCCTGGATATTTAGCTTTCTCCTGGCTCTGGTCCATTTAGTCCTCATCCTGAGGTTGCCCTTCTGTGTTCTTGGGCTCTAGTTTGGCAGCGCCATCATCATGTATGTGGCCCCCAAGTCCCAGCACCCCGAAGAGCAGCAGAAGATCCTTTTCCTGTTTTACAGTTTTTTCAGCCCCATGCTGAACTCCCTGATCTACAGTCTGAGGAACACTGAGGTCAAGGGTGTTCTCAGGAGGGCAATGGGCCAAGAAACACATTCCCAGTTGGTGTGATGTTTGAACCACATGCTACAGTAGTTTGCTCCAATATAAGTCTCCAATTGTTAACTAAATACAGAAACATCCACATTGTCTTTTTTCTATACCTGATGAATAGAACACATCCTCCTTCTACAGGTTCAAAAAATATATAAATGAGTTGTCTTATTGACACAAGGCTTTATCAAACATGACTACTTTCTAATTGAATTGATGTGGAATTATATAATGCTATTACATAATAATTATGATTGTAGTATTATTATTATGTTATTATATTATAACTCATTTTCTAGGCCCCAAAAGTTACATGCCATCAAACCTTGAAGTTAATTAGATATTGTCACAAACTGCACAAGATTTAGAAGCAAAACAAGCTATACCCAGAGAAAACCCCTCACACACTAGTCCATTTTGCAACTGCACTTGCCTAGTTCAAGAAACACTCTAAGATATGTAGTTACTGTGCTTTGTGAGACCACAAACTTATATATTAAAACTATTGACTTATATTAAAGTCTTAACTTGTTTGCTGAGTGAAGGAGCAGAATTTAAAAAAAAAAAGAACTATAGACAATGAAGTCACTGAAGCTTCATTTATACATTGGGGATTTGACTGGATAATCAGTAGCTAGTGAAAGGGTAAGTGTGAGCACCGTCTTTTTGAATAAGCTGAGAGTGAGAATCAAATTAAACTGTTTGAGTAATGCAATATTCCTTTACAACTGTACAACGATGGACGCAATTCATATCTGTTGCTGACTTTTCTATGCATTGTTTCCCAGCATCTTTCCATAAATTCTTCTAATTCTATTAGTCCTGATGTTGGCCACTGCCCTTCAAGATCATCTCACCCTCCATGAGAAGTTTTGTGGAATAGAGTTAGTAAGTAGCTGACTCTGGAGCTCAGTTAAAAACTAGAGACTAGCATCAGTCACAATATATTTAATGTAGATTCTCAATGTGTTATCTATGAAATCTTTTAGTGTATATGAACATGTATTTTCCTGTCTACTTGTGTTAACTCCTATAATAACAGATATATATGTGTATGTGCCATGTATGCATACGTGTACATGTTTGTGTGTGTGTACATTTGTGGGATGTATGTGTGTGTAGGCCAGCGATCAACTTTGAATATCATCCTCTAATGATCTCCTTTTCAGTTTTTGATACAGGATCTCTTTACAGAACCTGATGCTTGCTGTGTTGGCTAGCTAGCCAGCCAGGCCAAAGAATCTACTGTACCTCTTCAGGACTGGGGTTACTTGTGTGTGCTTCCATGTCTGAGTTTTTGTGGGTACTGAGGATCTGAACTCAAGTATTCATGCTTATGTTTCAAGCACTTAACAGAGACATATCTCTAGTTGCTGAAGTCCTTTTTCAAATTGTTTTGAGATATAATGTACTCTCATTTCTCCAGTCTTTCTAAATGCCACTATGAGGGCAAATATTGGAAGTATTTTTTAAAAAATGTAAGTGTTTTTCATTTGGATATTTAGGTTCTGTCAAAGAAGAGTATGGTATTTTCCCATTCTTGTGTTCACATATTCAACTTTCCACCACTGATACTGGATATGAGGACATTCCCCACAAACTAAGCAACCACTTCTCCAGTGAACCGCAGCTACATGTCCTCCATCTGAACTCTAACAACTCTCTCATACTAGGTAGTGCCAGATCTCTTGAATCAATGACTCTTCTCACAAGACTACACCACTTCAGTTGGATATGACAAGCTCCAGTTCTGATAGATTAGGTATAATGTGGGATTCCATTTTCATATTCACTACAGCCTCAGGAGTTGCTCAGATTTACTTGGATGTATCTCCTTTGGGAAAACATGACCAACATTAAATGTAAAAGGGCTGGGTGATGGAGCCTTGTGTTGATAGTTATTGCCAGGCACATTGTAAAGAGGAGCGCTTTAACATCAGCTCATTATGAGAAAATAAACCCTATCATGAGTGCTGCCACTTTTCTTCCCAGGATCTATGCATTCCAAATAAATGTGTGACATTTGAAAGTGAAATCAGTCAGGACACACAGTTCATACTGCACCAGCACTCCCCACTCGGGACACTTCTGTCACGCTGCCCTGAAGATTCACCCTCCCACATCTTAGTTATTCCTCCCACTCTAAGGAAAAGCTCCTTTGAGAATTTCTCTGATGATGGTTTTCTTTGAGTACTGGTCACACCCTCCTGCTTTAGTTAGGATCTATATGTATTACTTTTAGCTAGTTCTGGAAGTGCTTTAAACAAAAGAGTTTTGAATGACCATTAGAACCAAATAGTGTTAGGACATCAATATATATATATATATATATATATATATGTGTGTGTGTGTGTGTGTGTGTGTGTGTGTGTGTGTGTGTGTGAAACATATATATATATATATATATATATATATATTACGGACTATACTGTTGATTTTATCCATTCCTATACCTATGTAGCATTCTTATTGTTTAAAATTGTAAATACTTATCCAGAAATTGTGTAGCTATTTCTCTCAAATTGAAACTGAATTATTTTCTCCTGGAATTGGTGCCCTCTTGACTTAAGAAGTGAATTATTGACTAAACTCAGGAAGAAAACAACTCACAAGTCTCAACATGGTTCTGAAATTCAGAAAATATATAACACCGCTTTCCAGAGTTGCACAGTAGCAACCACTGCTACAGAGTAAAACTTATTGTCCAGCCACACTGCCTGCAAGTCAAGTAGGCGATTTCAGAAAGGCAGCCTTCACTGTGTCCTCACCCACTGTCAAGGTAAGCTCTTCAGAGATGCCCTTTAGTCATCTACAGTCTTTTAAGAAATGCTCCAATATTCACTGGTCCAATAAGCTAGGCCTGGGTGGGTCTGTTTTGTTGGTCTGTCATCTGTGCTCTGTCTGGACAAATGGATATTTGGTTACATCTCCCAGGGAAAGCCAACACAGGATAAATGCTATCTCAGTTTACTTTTAAGGGAACATAGACAATTTGTGTGACAGTGATAGCTATTGGTGCTATGTCCTACAGTATATAAAATTTGGTTTTTGTTGTATCCCCAAATGTGAAACTTAATTAGTATTCTCTAATTTTTCAGATTTATAATCCCTAATATATGTTAATCATATCAAAATGTTTTCTAAAAGATCTGATTCACACATATTTTTCAGCCTACTTTTCCACAAAGGCAATTTTCTTATTTATGTATGTTTGAAAATATTAGAAACATTAATCAACAGATTGGTTTCAATTAAACTTTGTCTCCTTGCTATCCTAAACTCCATATGTTTATGTTTTTATGTGTTTATGTTTCACAGAGACAGCTTGTTGAATCACAGTTTTTCTAAATTTTTATACAGTAAAAAATATGTGATTTTGGTACATATTTCCTAAACTTCCATTTGTTTGCCATTATGAAACTGAGTGTTTACCTTGACCCGAATCAAATGTTAAGTCTCTTTCACTAGAATAACGTCATTGGTTTATTTGTTTCTTGTTTCTTGGTTTTTTTTCTTTGTTTTTTTTTTTTTTTTTTTGAGACATGATGCCTCTGTGTAACACAGCCTTCAGTATCCTAGAGCTCCATCTGTATACCAGGATGGTCATAAAAGCACAGAGATTCACCTGTCCCTGATTTCCAAGTGCTTGGATTAATGGTGTGTGCCACCAATGTTTGGCTCTAGAATGATTCTTTGTGACTGGTTGTTTATTGGTGAGTATTCCTTATGGTGATCATAGAATTTTTATTTATAACAGCTGCAAATCTCCTAGATACAAAAAAAGATAAAACATTTATGGAGTGTCCTTTAGGGACAGGGATCTTTTGTATAAGAATTAGTTGCTTGATTTCTCTAAAGGCAGTGGGCTTTGTTCTCATTATGGATACATTTTCATGATAAAAGTGTCCATGACCTACAAATGTGATGTGGGATTCCCATCTCTATGCTATGAACATGTTTTATTACCAATGGTTAATAAAGAAGCTATTTTGGCCTATGGCAGAGCAGAATATAGCCATGCTTGAAGAGATATATGGAGAGAGTAGGCAAAGTCAAAGCGACACCATGTAGTTGCCAAAGAAGAAGGACACTGAAAACTTACCAGTAGGCCACATCCTCATGGCAATATGCAGATTAATAGAAATGGGTTAATTTAAGATGCAAGAGCTAACTAGGAATACTTGTAAGCTATTAGTGAGTATTGTAATTAATACAGTTTCTCTGTGATTTTCTGGTCTGGGTGGCTGGGAAACAAACAAGCTGACTCTACTAACCAAACAGCGCCTACCATCTGGGGCATGGATCCACTTAAGACCTAAAAAACCTAAAATTAAAAGGCTTCTAGACCTACAAAAATAGGAGAAAATTGGAACTGGTTGGTAATCACAATTTTTCAGATAGGTTCTGTTTCTGGAGGCGAGCAGAGGCATGGTTCCTTTGAGAGAAGACTTTTTTTTTCCTTTTATTTTTTTATTTTTTTATTTATTTATTAAAGATTTCTGTCTCTTCCCCACAGCCGCCACTTGATTCAACAATAGCAGAAAACACTGTAGAGCTTCTTTAAAGGTTTCCTGGTTCGTGCTGGCAGCACTAACTCTGGCTATTTTGGGAGGTCTTGCATCTAAACGGGATTTTTGAGTATGACCTTAAGTGTCTTTTGGCCATTTGAATTTCTTCTGTTGAGAATTCTCTGTTCAGTTCAGTGCCCCATTTTTTAATTGGGTTAATTAGCTTTTTAAAGTCTAGTTTCTTGAGTTCTTTATATATTTTGGAGATCAGGCCTTTGTCTGTTGTAGGGTTGGTGAAGATCTTCTCCCAGTCAGTGG